CCCAATAGGAGAGTGATTTATTCTCTACGTAATGTAACTGACAGATTGCTGGAAAGAATCTTCTACCTAATCCCAAGATATACTATTGGTTCTAAAAACGTTGTTACCCAAGAACTCATTATGCAGTCCATAAAAATTTTTATTCACAAAAATGCCTATGACGTATACCGTCTGTTCAGTTCTTTGTTGTTTTATTGGGATTCTCAGAAAAAAAAAATTATTGCCTAACTGGCTGTCTGCCTAAGTAACAAACCCGAGCATAACCACTTCTCGATAGCCCTTATAAGCAAATACTTTAAAGGATAAGATGATGAATATGAACATGTAGGTTAATTTGCCCTGTCCTGAATTCGGCATCACACCATGGAGACGAATAGGACAGTGGAAGTACATTCCTACGTTTTTTAAACTTCGGTTTTATATGGAAGTGACAGGTTAGAGTCACACTCCGGCTGTTTTACTCCCGCGGACAAAGCTTCCGGTACACAATGCATACGAGGCAGAGTGGGGATGACGATGAATGACGTCTAAAACAAGAGGAAAGTGGAGGAACAGGAAAGTAAATAAAGAATACAAATGTATAATTTTCTTTTTCAATAAAATTTCGGTAATAAATACTCAGGTATTGTTGTGATATCTTGTTCACTGACCATGACAGAACATACGGTTTCCCGCAACAAAAATTCATTAGTAGAAATTATTCTGATCACGAGCGAGGCGCATCCAAGCGTATTCCATGCTGGTTTCTACTTCAGTGAAGCTTCTTCTGATAGCAGAGTCCTATATACGAGTATTGTCACGTGTTGGAGTGACTTGAGACGCGCGTATGGGTCGGTGAGTCGATTTGTTGGTTAGTCACCAGTCGGAACTACAATTAATTATAACACTTTCACTCTCACTGTAACTATAACACTTCGTAACTATGAGTATGTTAAAAATTTAAAGGTTACACTAACTACTTACTTACTTACTTACTTACTTATAGAGCTGAGCCCTTCTTGAGGAGAAGCCAAATCTGCAGCTACTCAAGAATTTCCCAGCATTTTATGGAACCCGAAGGCTAATTACAGTAATTCTGTATTTCAGCATCCTGTTGTTATTGTTTAACTTAAAGTCCATGTATTTATCGTCCGCCAATATTGCAACACGTGTTTATTCACTACTTAATTTTATTTTAACATTTTACACTTTGACATTACATGTTTCGCTCTTAAACGGCCATCTTCAGGTGTCTTGATATCTTAAAAATATTTTATTAAAGTATGTTAAAACTGCTACACTGTTTTAGTCCGTGTTAAAATCACACGCTGTAGTTCTCTTTTCAAGGTAAAACAAGATAAAATCCATTAAAATTTTCCATTTCACTTCACAAGGGGTGACGTCTATTGTTCATAAATATTGTGACGTGTCCCAGGTGTTTTGTTTCGGCAGCTTGCCCCTCAAGTTCGTAGCCTACTTTTCAGGTATGTCTGCAATATGCCCCTGGTTTGCGTGTTTCCTCCCAGCGTATGGTGTTGTCTTTACTATTTCACATAACTGTTCGAGATATAGAAGGTCAAATAATTTGCTACTGCCGAAATTACTCCTGTCTACGGTACAATTTAGGAAATGCCGCCATCTTCAGATAATGACATTTTATAGAAGACCAATTACTTTTATTTGCTGGGATAACAAGTGCACATGTACTAAATGTAATAGTAATGTGATAGAGGCTTGCATATTGCAATGCCTGCATATGTTTCCTATTCCTTAACACCCAGACGTCTCTTCAACCCTCTGCAACCAACGCAGCAATTTCAATATTTACTAGCGCCCACACTGAAATCGGCAATCCCTGGTCGGGGGAGGGGGACATAGCTGCAGTACTAACTATTGGGATCACTAACAGTCTGAGCATGAAGTTTTGGGACTATACGAGTAGATGAGGATTGGAAACAACAATCGACATATTTTAACCCGGAAACTAGATGATAATCAGCTAGGCGCTACAGCACACTTTACTGTCTGCACAAAGAAAACAAGAGGTCGTTTGAGTGTGAATCTTGACAGAAAATACACAAGGACATATATACATGGCATATTATTACTCAGAGTCCCTGCTGAGAAAATAATAGATTTCCATCACATTTAAATAAACTGGGCTCCTTTAGAAGATCGAAAAATAACTGTATCGGCGGGGGTTCGCCATCTGCCTTCATTCTAAATTCATTGAATCCAGTACACAGTCTCACACACCAAATTCATGAAGGATTCTTTCAATATTATTCTTCTGTCGACGTCGAGGTCCTCCAAGTAATATCGCCATTTCGGGCTTTGTAACTAAAATTTTATATTAATTTCTCAAGTTCACGTGAATGCAACATTTCTCTGTCATGATGTACTCTTTTATTCGATCACGCTAATAATGCACATATACAGTATACATATTTAGTGATGAGTAAAAGTTAATGGAGTTCCTTATTATCTTAACCCACTTCTTAATTTCCCGTCTCTTTCTTTTTTTCCTTGGCACTACAGCCCCAGTGGGCCTAGGCCTACCTCCATGAACTTCTCCGTTCACTTCGGTTTTTCTAGAGCTTACACATTCGGTAGGACTCCTTGGGCGGGTGATCAGCGCGTCGCAAGGCCTCTACCTGTACACAAACACAGAAAAATGCACACAAACATCCATGCCCTGAGTGGGATTCGAACCCACGATTCCGGCGAAGCGAGCGAAGACCGTACATGCCTTAGACCGCTCAGCTACCGTGACCGGCCTTTCCCTTCTTACGTCGTAATATATTTCTTATGATCCTGTTCTCAAACGCCATCAATCTCCTCAACTCAAAACTGTAGTCGTCAACGCAGAATGAGGCAGTCTGCAAGGAGCTTAAGAACAAAATTCTGAAGAAAATTTTTGGACCTCAGGGTTGTGGTTTCCAAGTTTCCAAGGTGTAGGAGGAGGAGGAGGAGGAGAAAGAAGAAATTGGACTGAACTGAAGCACAGTCTTTTGTAATAACGGAGTTGAACTTTCGACTCAGGTAACAGCAATTAATTTGATGATAAAAAATGGAATTAACATAACGGTATAGGGTATTTTTGTTGGGTGAAATACAAATGAATAAAAAAAAAATTAATGTTAGAGAGGGAACATGTTCCAGCACATCAAAGAAGTGTATATTTTTGTAAAAGATTATAATCATGTTCACAATCGTGAAATGAAATTTTGTAAAGCATATCTCACGCCTGTCAAGTTTTCATTTAATCTCCGTAACATCAAATATCTCTCATGGAGGTGAAGTATATGCATCTAACGAAGAAATTCTATGAACAAAAAATGCGGTTATATTTAAGAACCTGGCACAATGCATTAGATCCCTTCTCTTTTTTTCCACAGCCCCTGTTTCAAAATCCATTGACGTATGTGTTCTAATAAATCCTCGTGTACGAACGAAGAGCACTCTCTCCAAACACTCTTACTTCCTTGTGAGAGCAAAGTAATAATTTTGAAGCTCCTGGACATGAAGCCTCCGATATTTACGAAAACTTATAAAGAATATTCCATTTAATACAAAATTTGGGAACGATTAATCAAAAACTCGTCTTTCTGTCTTAAATAATTCGTTGAAGTCATATCACTAGCTGGTGCACTGTACTATTATATACCTCCAAATTTTATGAAAAATAAAAATAAATTAATAATTAGAAAAAGTTGAATGTCTTATCTTATCAGTTCTGTAGGAAATTGGTAAAAACACTCTGCTTTTCATTTAATGAACTTACTGTGGTTCAGTATTTTTATTCTCGTGATTAAGTTACTTTATGAAATGAACTGCATATGGAAATAATTTTTAATAATTTGATTTATCTCTATACATTAACTACTATTAACTGTTATTGATCGAAAAAACACTTCATGTATACGTACTGAGGAACTTTTAACTTCGACACAACATGGAAGTGATTTTTCATCTTCACGCAGGGGCCGTCTCACCCTCAAGGAAACAGCTTCCAATACTCGTTGGATATAAGACGAGTTGGGGTCCGATTGCAGTGTGGAAGTGGTGAGGGTAAAGACAGAAGGTACATATCCTTGTTCGGAATCGATTCTCTGCTCCCCATCTCGTATCTAGTTACGCCACTTTGCTGACTCAGGTATCCCGACCCACTGCGATTGCAGTTGTTTGCACTGAAAAGCACCCACTATTCAGTTTGCGTCACAAACCATACTGAACGCACTACACTATATTTCGACAATTGTGCCCATTTAGGGGTTTTCTACCATTTTCAACACTGTTCCGTAATTTGTTTTATTCTTCATTCCTCTTCTGAGCTGACATACATTGAATTTATTATTATTATTATTATTATTATTATTATTACAGAACAAGTTGGCAACTGAGTAAGTTATTTATATAAGAGACTACTAGAGTCTGATGATGATTAGGGTTGGATGATGATAATGATGATCATAACGAAAAGAAAGGTAGTGATTTCATTTAATAAGAATAGTATATTTTTAAATACTACCTTATTGTTTTAAGGGACCCGAGATAGCTCAGTCTATATAGCGAATGGCTAAGGGGTGGACGAACGAGAGGTTGGAGTTCGAGACACAGCAGGATCAAGAATTTTTTCTTCTCCATGTCGTCCAGACCGGCTCTGGGGTGCACCCAGCCTCCCATATAATGGATACTGGGGGCTCTTTCCCTAGGGGTAAAGCGGCCGGGGCGTGAAGCTGACCACTCACCTGAAACTAACGCCGAGGTCAAGAAAATGTGGATCTATACATCCACTCCCCAATAGGACTTCATGGCGTAGTGCTTAATTAGTTATGCACAGGGTCAAATTTACCTTACTTTAGTGACACATTTTTACCGTGTGTGGTCGCGTATGCATGAAATTTAAGTGCAGGACAGGAAAGAGGCTGCATGCGTTCGCAGAATGTTGCATGTATCCTCTAAGATGGTGGTGGTACCTGTGCCACAGTTATCGAACTGATGTTCTTTGAAATACTCACCGATGACAGTGATGAGGATCATGAGGCCAAGAATGAGTGACGTAACACCCATAAGGATGACGTCAGTGAGTGGTTCTTCTCCTCTTGCTCCTCCGACGGTGCTACCGTTTCCACTGGCATTGTTGAACAGTTCTCCAGCATATGAACCGTTGTAACAGTCGAGGAGCGATGTATACCCCGTTCCGTTAGCCGTATTGTTGCATGTAATACGACCCACGATAACATCATCAAAGTAAGATGGCAGGATTGTCGTTGGTGAATTGTTGGCGAGTACTGACGCAACAGTGAAAGGATCAACATAACTGTCCGAGATCGCATCCTCTGGCTGCACAAATACGTCATTGTCGCTGGGTCTCTCGGCAACAGACAGCTTTATGGACCCAGACAATGGCTTCACATGCAGAGGATCCTTCAGATCTTCCTGTTGCCGGCTTCGGTTCTGTACTGGCTGTATAACGCTCAGGAGATCCATGGCGGATGCATGTACATTATAGCGGATCTGGAAGCACAAAAATACAAAATATTTTAGTGTTCTGAAGGATTACACCAGCGATAACGACGACGCAAAACCATGATCACGGTATTAATTATTTTAGACGAGGCTTGGAAGTGGCTGATAACACACATTGGCCTTAAAATCAGTTAACCTAAAATATTACCTCGTAATAATGATAGTATTCAGGTAGATTTTAAAGGGTTCTGAAGATGGCGTATAACACACAGACCTACTATTTTTTTTATTTATCCATCGTCCCGTATTCTAGAAAATAGAAAACATGACGTTTCGGAAACGGGATCTATTTTTATCCTCAAGTCAGGTTAGCTCTTTCTAAGGGATCCCACTGAGTAGGTGTCTCAAACCCACTCACTTGAGGACGGAAAGAGATGCAGTTTCCGAAACGTCGTGTTTTCTATTTTCTAGAATAATTTTCTGCAATATCGGACGATGGAAAAGTATAAATCCAGTAACTCTGAAAGTGTTCAGATTTAAATATTTTGCAGAACGGTATCATAGCTTCGTGAGTTGTGCACTTAATATGGACAATTTCATTTCAAACAATTTTTGTAAATTCAGTAAGCAATAGAGGGATATATAACTTATTTTAGTGTACATCTTACTAACCACTTAACTGAATTTGGCTCAGCCTGTACATATACATACGCATAATCCCTCACTCATCATGCTGCAAGGGCACGTTTCTTTACTCGATCCTGGGTGTTCAGAAGAAGCAAGTCCAGACAGGTCAATTTAAATAAAATTCAATTTAAACATATACATTGTATAAATCTGGCTACTTCTATATGATTTGGGGCATTCACGTTCCTAAAGAATCACACTGTAGTGCAACACACTACATATTACACACTCCTAGGTTGATACCAATGTTACGGGTTAACATACAGACGCCATCTTGAGGAGCAAGTCCTCTTTTAAACAGAGGTTTAAGTAGGGTCACTAAAGAATTAAGTTTTTTTTTCACTGTTAGGTCAGACGTACTTATATGGCCTTACTGAGAAACACTGTTGTACTTCGCAATATCTGGTTATTTGACGGAAAGCAGAGCCACAGTGTCAGAAACCGATACAGAATCATGGCTGTTGAAGCACAAAGCCCATACCCGTAGGTCCGTGTTCCGCAAGCCACATCGCATGGTTACAGCTTGCAACGAGTGGCCGGAAGAGGGAACCTGTGTACTGGAAAGAAATATAGCACAAACGTGTCTCCCTATCAAACACGACTCTTTAATTAGCTCGGGATATGACGCAAATCCATGGCTAACCCTCCTCGCCAGTCATGCATGTACAGAGGTCAACAACGAAAATTGTTTGCACCTTTTCATTGTATTGATTTGCTGAAAACACAATTTCCTTTATCTTATGTTGCCAGTGATGATTTCGTTCCTGGGAGATAGGTCCGATGACATAACCCTCCTTCGTGTCTGTCACTTTGAAGTGACGAACTCCTGATACATAAGGTCCTCTGTCGGGCTGAATTCAAACAGCAACCACGAATAAAGATCGAAAGAAAACGAAGACAGAAAAAAGGGGGGGGACCTTAATGGTTCATATTGAGATACTGGATAACAAAGAATGTACTACAAATTATTAATTTAAAAATTATCACAAATCGTACTCAGTTCCAGCAATAAAAGACGTTGATACGTGACGGTATAAACATTTTAATATCCAACGCACAGGTTAATGTTTCGAAATTAAAAACAAATTTGACCTTCTGAAAAAAAAATATATAACATAGATCGTTATCAGAAAATAAACGAAGACCAGTACCATAAGTAGTTCTGCTAGAAACTAATGACGCCTATTTTAGTTTTGTTTCAAACCGCAAACTAGAGGAAACCATGACTGAATTATTATGTGATACTGTGACCCTAATTTATGCTTTGCTTCCTCTAGTATGCATCTGCTTGCAAAAAGCAGCCGAAATTTTAAAAGTTAACTGTTCAAAAATTAAAAAATACCCGCCTTCATTACCTAGAAAAATATAGGAAAGATAGCTATATAACAAGGTGTACCACGCAGTGCTGCCATCTAGATACGACGTCATAGAGGAGTATGTTTTGACGAATAGGGATTCAGACTCAAGCATAACTCGGTTTGATGTCATCTTCTGCTTCAGTGTATAACTAACTCCTAACTACATAGCGACAAAAGAATAAATTTTAACCCCTTATATATAAGTATATTATCTAAATACTGCACAACGTAAACCCGAATATCCGCTAAGAATAATTATCAAGATAAATAATGTCAGAAATTCTGTTATAATCTCCATGACAACGCAGTGTTTATTAGTTTGCATTTTGTAAAATGACTATGACGGAAGCTGCATATACAGTGTGTCACAAGAAACATATGTAGAATACAGGAAGTTTATTAATTTATCTACTTTGAGGGAGAAATATCATACAAGCATGAATACGATTCTTAAGCTGGTATGGAGCTACTGATGAAAACTGAGCTAACATAAAATCTCTAATTTTGTACAACAATTTTGTTTCTCTGACCACCTACGTAGTAATTTAGTGTATTAATTATGTACCCAACAGTTTGTTATTGAGAATCGTTAGCAGCTAATTTTACCTTAATTTTCTTAAGAAAGCGGCACTAGTCATTTTGGAACAAGTACATTTCCAGACCAGACTAAATGGCTCGCTACATCACAGCGGCACTCTATCCCATTTCGTTGTACATGGAACAAAATACTTGAATTCCTGCTATGGATGTCTCTGGCTTTGGCTCGGGGGATTGTGAGGCTGATCTCTGCACATTCCACTTGCATTTTCTTATGAGAATGCGCAAAGAAGTTGCCTTATCAAAAGGAATCACAGAAAAGAGAAGAATTCCCTGCGGCTACTCGGAGATTGTTCTGCTTCAATAAGGAACATTTCTAGAGGCATAAGAAAGGCAACAATACATGTTGTAAGGCGAACAACACTGCGCATTAACTATGCAAGAGGTCCTTTCGAACAAAAAACTGAGTAAGCAAACAATAGTATAAAATTAAAGAGGTTTCTTGATTATGGCTTCGTTGACTTACTCTTCTACCCTGAAGGTGGAGGTGGTATGTTCTACAAAACCTATACCAGACAACATGGCGTTACATCCCCGAAGAAAAAATACTCTCCATGGATTTAATTTATTAGTTGCAAAATTATGTTTTATGTTTACCCTTTCCTACTTTCTTGGAAGCTAGCAATATTTTCAGACTCTAAAATATGAATATTTAATAGCATGGAGGAAGTAACAACCTGAAGATGACTCATTTGAGGTCGAAACATGTAGCACGTGCTATATAAATAAATAATAAATTATTGTTGCATTGAAGGTAAAAATTATATATATATATATTTAAAATATTTTTTTATTGCTAGTGGGGTGGGACTAAGTCCCTTTTACTGCGGCCACTTCTGGCCTATTGTACCAGCCCCAGATGATAAGTGAGGGTGATTGTGGAGCAGTTGGTGGAATGAAGATTGGCAGGGGAAACCGAAGTACTCGGAGAAAACCTGCCCCAGCGCCACTTTGTCCACCACAATTCCCACTTGACGAGACCCGAGATCCAACCCAGGCCGCCGCGGTGGGAAGTCAGGGACTAACCGCTTGAGCTATGGCGCAGCCCATGTTCAAAGTAACGACTATATTAAACTTATATATCAAACGATTTGCAAACCTGCTTTCAGCTTACTGAGAACTGGAGCACAGATTACCTTTTTTGAAAGTTACTGACACGACACATCCATTTTTAAATTCCCTTTCATCAGTAAATCTCGCGAACTCTTTCAATGTATAGAGTACTGAAAGCCCTCTTCGTGCTTTACATTGAACTAACAGTTTTACAACCTTCGAAGGTAGAGCGTTACGGAGACTAGGTATAAGCAAACTGACAGATAAAACTGAACAGGTATGGTATGGACTGAATTAAAACTGAACGGTGTATTTTTATGAAAATTACTCCCTTAATGAACGGGCGTTTCTTCACTAAATGAACTATAATCTACAGGAATTGTTATACAAGAACAATATTAAAGTGGATTTCGGAGTATCTTTGTAAGATTAAGAGGTCTCGACACAAGTAGCTGCAATGGTGGGCTTGTGAAAACGGCGTCATTGTAAGTAGTGAAATTCTTGACTAGCTGCGAAACTTCTAGCTTTTGAAGAAAGACTACATTTTAGTTGTATGCTCAAGATGGGACGCGAAAGAAATAAGATCCACCGGGTTTCTGTGTTTCTGTAAGGCTAAAACCACGAACACAACAAAGTTCTCTTTATAGATTGTGCGTTTTATAAGGAAACACGTGATGCAGAGTTGTCTGGACAGTGTTCTATGGCGCACATGTTCTTAAGACGTGTGCTGCTCCAGATTTAGTGTCAGCTTAAAGGACACTAGCCACCTTACACACGTGCGAAATTGCTTTCTATAGCAGCAAGAGGACCTTCCTTATACTACTCACACACAAGCTGCTGGATCTGCTGGGCAGTTCCCCTCCCCTTACGTCTTCTCTAGCAACCTCCAGCCCCCATGAAGTCGGTTTAGTAGAAAAGTGGATTGAAAAATATGTGAGCATTCTGCAGCAAAAAAATGGCGCATCCTCTATGTCGCCAGGTGTCTCCAGCTCTGTGAGTGTCATTCTTATCGGAACTAGGAGAAATTTTACCGAATATAACTTAACTAATGCTAAATTTTTCTAGAAGTCTTTGGTAAAAAGTACGCTACTGACTACAGTTTGGAATAACTGATATGCTTCTTGTTTCTGCAGCAGAATTCATTCATCCATTCATTTCATCAATGGCTCTACAGCCCTTTTGTTGGGCCATGGCCTCCTCTTCAGTTTCGTAATCTATTTACACACTCAGCAGGGCTCCTTGGATGAGTGATCAGCCCGTCGCAAGGCCGCTACCTACACACAGGACAACACAACACAGAAAAAAAAAACACACACAGACATCCATGTCTTGAGTGGGATTCGCACTCACGGT